ATGGCCCCCCCCCCCCCCTCTTTGAAACGTCAATCAAACAAAGATATAATAAAAGAAAATTTTTGGCGCAAACCGCAAGTCAAAATCTCGATTTTGGACATACCTAATTGCGACCGGTCAAAGTTCAAAATAATGGAAATTAGGCATCTCCGTTTTCGTTGACGGATTGGGATGGAACTTGATATCCGCGGTTTTTTTTGGCACGATATAAACGATTACTTTTCCGGAAAATTTTGTCTTTTTCAAAATGGTGGCGGTTAAAACGGCGACGTAGAACGGTAAGAAAATATTTAGGCTGCTTAGAAGTGAATTTGCAGGAAATTTGGTATTTGAGGGTATTCGCGCACGAAAAAAACGAATCATTCTTTGGATGTTCGAAATTCTGAATAACTTCATAATTGCGACGGGAAAATGGCGTAAACTTGGTATTACGGAAGTTTACTGATGGATTCACATGAAACTCGGTCGCCATTTTGCAAAAATTTAATGCGGAGCAGTCGTTTTTGTCAAACTAGAAACCGACGGCTGCCCGATTGTTGAAATGTATGTCGGCTCGGCAAGAATCGAAAATAGATTTATTGCACGCGCCGCAGACAGGGCTATGTCTTGTCTTATTATCTTGCCGACATAGCCAGTCTAAGTCCCAACAATCAGGCTCCAGGACTGATCCCGAGTTTCATGCGAATTAAACCGTTAACGTCCGTAACACCAAATTTTCGCCATTTTTCCGCCACCATAATAAAGTTATTCAGAATTTCAAAAATCCAATGAAATATTTGTTTTCTCGAGCGGAAGTACCCTCGATTACCAAGTTTCCTGCAAATCCACCGATAAGCAGCCTGATTATTTTCCTGCCACTCTAGGTCGCCATTTTGAAAAGAACAGGCTTTTCCGGACAAGCAATCGCTTTTCTCGTCCCAAAAAACCCGCGGATGTCAAGTGCCATCCCAATCCGCCAACAAAAACGGAGATGTCACATTTCCATTATTTTGAACTTTGACTGGCCGCCATTCTGTCCAAAATCGAGATTTTGACTTGCGGTATGTCCCAATAATTTTCTTTTATTATCTTCGCTTGACTGATGGGTCACAAATGGGAAGGGTTGCCATTTGAAAGAAAAGTTGGGGTTCGTAGCCCCACCCCGTGGGGGACCCCAAAAGTAGTTAACATTGATCTATGAACATCCCCAAAGTTTCGTTACAAAATATTCATTAAGTAAAATTTTAGAGGGGGTGGGAGGGACTTTTGGGACACCTTATATGACCATAAAAGAATGAAAGCGGCAGAGCAGATGACGCAGCGCGCTGCACGGCCAGAACGCGTATTTCCGTACCCTGCGTGGAATGTGAAATCCAGTTTAGAACCTGGTTGCAGCTCATTGTACAGGTCCTCATTGTGCCTCCATTGTTGAGGCTTCTTATCCGCACCGGCTCGGCTCCTGCTTTGCACACGCTGCAAGTTTTAAGTTGAAAATGGGGGTCATCGATGAGGGTTTCTGCAGCACATTGCACGATCACCGATGACCCGCACTTTCAGCAAAACACTTGCAACGTGTGCAAAGGGCATCCGAGCATATATCAAGTCCCTCGTCTTTCTCAAATCCTTATGTCTTCCTCTGTTTCTCCCAACCTCTTTCCGTTTATACAATTAAATATCGGATTGCTTTAATTTACTCACTTCGATTTCACCTAGTTTTGGCCAGAAAAAGAACACGCCTCAAATTGGAAAAATGTAATTTCAGACTGTTTCCACCCATAATAGGTCTAATATTTATTCCTTCAGTTCTGTCTCTTAGGGTGTCTCACGAAAAACGAGCCACCTTGAATATCTGCCGAACGCGTCGGAATTTCGACAAACGGTAAAAGACGTGTTCATTTATATCGAGGGGGACACTTTTTGGCGTATTTGACATTTTCCCACCCGCGGGAGGGGCGCGGGGCGGGGGGGGGGGGGCCCCCCCCGTAAGTCGAACTTTTCAAATGGCACCCCTACTTTTTTATTTCAGAAATCAATT